AAGCGGAACTAAGTCCATTTATAAAACAGAAGACATGCGAACGTAACTTTCAAAGAAATATATTTAGTTCTAATGGATTTATATAGCTTTTGATAATTATCTTGAGCTTTTAATGATGTTGGCTATTTATAGGTTTCGGAATACGCAATGAGATGAAACTTATTCACTGGATGTTTTACTACATTTGGCTACAATGAAATATCTAAAATAGGTTAATTTAATGTTGTTATGGGTGTTTGTTTAAATACAAGTTATTTATTAAACATGTAATTTGAAAATAATACTAGAGTTTAGGTGATTTTTTTAATTAGATTAAAATATGAGTAACAACAGGTCGAAGAGCGAGCGAATACATTAAGCTTGTATTGCCACACGGGCCGTAACAAGCGATTTCACGGCGCAGGCGCATCCTTTAGCCACGGCTGTCTCGAACCGCCATCTTGCCTGCGACAGATTTGTTGCGTCACTCACCGCAACAATATGGAGGATCGTGTTACACTGCCCTAAATCTCTTTGTTCTTCGATTCGCGTGTTCAAACTGTCTGGTGAATGGTGTTGGTAAACATTATTGGAATTATTCGCCGGTGTGTTATAAATGATAGACTTGTTTCAATAGGAATTTATGCAACGTATCTATCACGTGTCGTGTTTGACTTACGAAATGTTAACTAAACGTTGATATTTCATTAGAATATATCTTAATATTGTCTTGACAAAATTTTCATTCATATTTCATCACTGCAGCCTGTTTAAATCGGCCCTTGTTGAATGGCGATTGATTACGATAGAAGCGGTCAGTCGATCGGTTACAAGCTCGGACAGTGTTTGGACACGCGCTGCGACCGCGGAGCGACAACGACAGATCGCGCCGATCCGCGATAAGATGCTATCTGCCGGCTGCGCACGCGCCGCGCACCGGTTTAGATTGCGCCGTGAAATTGAGACCGATTTATGGCTGTGTCTAATGGCTTTCTCGATTAATTGTCTTCTAAATTGTTGAAATTACAACACTATTAACGTTTTAAACTAGTTGACATAATTATATTAGCTCGCTAATCTTGGCTTTTGTTGGCTATTTGTCTTAATAGAACCGAAATTCTGTTTACAGATTATTTACAAAATGTAAAAAGATTTTCAATCGAAAAACGTGTTCAAATAAGCAATATTATACACTTAAACAATTAAGATATATAATATTATAATTTGATTAGTCAATTTTATCATCATCAACGTCAAAAGCGTAAATATTATCTATTCATTGAAAATTAAGTAATCAAAGCCATTAAATAAAGAATTGAATTGAAAAAGTAACTTCAGTATATATATATATATATATATATATATATATATATATATATATATATAAAACATTTCAAAACAATAAATCGTTCTAAAGCAACCTTTACAATACTGTTTTTGTAACACATTATAGAGGCATAAAGCAGATCTCCGATCATCTCTCATCTTGTAAGTAATGTGGGAATGCTAGCCGCTTTGTTCTATCGCAGCTGCGTCCGTGCACGCATAAATCATATTCGGTACCACAAAGATTGATCTGTATCTAGATAAAGATAGATTTTAATTAGTAGTCGTAATATACGAGACTAAATATAATATATTTCGGCAAAACGTTCAGTGTAGCCTTGTTTAGTTATCTAAGATTTTTTTTCTTTTAATGAAAATATTATTTATTGGTCTTTCCTTTTCCAATAATATTGAGTGGAAAAGAAAATCTAACTTCTTATCTAAAACAAACGGAACCAACTATTTCCTATCATTTGGAGTGATCAGTGATTATGTCTGGAGTGTTTCCATATCAATACGAATGTAACGGTTTAAATTCTTGAAGTATTGGCAGCAATAACTTTTAAAAGCTACATTGTACAGAGTAAGCGCAGATGGCAGAGACAACCCATACACTATCGGCGTACAAGGACACAAGCTCATAACCGTGACAGTGGCTAACCTATGAATACCAATCATTATGATTTGCGTCGTCTAAGGTTGGACTAGTGTTGGCAACTTTCTTGTTTTACGAATATTTTTCGTTTTAGAAAACTTGTATAATTTCTCTTACTTAAAAGAGTAGTAATTTTGTACAGGAGAGTCACTAGGTTTTATAAGTAAATAAATAATAAATAAAACAATTATATGTGAAAGACGCCAAATATGTACGAACATGATGTAGAGCTTCATGTTTTATAGTTGTGAAATACTAATATGTAATTGTACATACAAACATACAATATTCTTATTGCATTAGTACTCTAATAGTATAAAGCTACTACCATATCTTTCTAGGTTGTCCCAAAATTGGCAAGAGACGTATATGGTATAAAATAATGCCGTTTGTTATCTAGTTACGTGCTAATATATGAAGGCAAGCTAAACATTGATTTTAAAATCCTTATGATTTTCTCACGGATGTAAACGAACTTTGTTTTCTACATAATATCGATCTACAAAAAGATTAGTGCTTTGATATACATTTTTATATATGCATTTTATTGGGTTTAAAAAAATAGAAGAAATTCTAATTAGTAAAGTAAATGGTTAGTTAGAGCCAATAAAATTTGTATGAGAATAATGTAAGCAATATTATTCTATTTTTTTCATTTTAAATGATAAAAAGAAATATGTGATGATAGTACAGACAGCGCATGAACATTTTTATTTAAAATCTCGACTTATAAAATAATTCAATACCTGGCAGTCTTAAACCATTAATTATGTATATATCGAAACAATTTGTCACTACGATCATCACTAGCGATCGGCTACCGTCCAGAACGTGACCACTCGCGACAAACGGCGCGCGTGAGGATTTCGAACGCGCCTCGACATGTCGCCGATATTTTACTAATGTATGCCAAAATCAAAATATCGACTTTATTTGAATACTAATAAGGCTTATTGCATTTGTCTAACTTTCAGCTCGTTTTTAATTGTGATAAGCTATAAGTGTCATAATAATATATTTTGCATCTAACTTCGCAATCCATATTCACGATGTATAAACTATTACGATCGCGTTAGTCGTACCTACTCAAATTAAATTCATATCATGATTTAAGATAAAACAGCAGTATTATACATTTTTCTATCATTTGCATGAGATTATATTATGACGACTCGTTTGGCTCAGTTTGTAGTGACCCTACTTGCCATGCCAGAGGTCGCGGGTTCGAGTCCCGCTGGGGGCATTCATTTGTGTGATGAGCACGAATGTTTGTACTCTGGTCATGGGTGTTTATATTTATAATATGTATGTATTTAAAAAATATATATGTGTAGTGTATCAACTATCTGGTATCCATAACTCAAGCCTCGTAGCTTACCATGGAACTGGATGGTTCTGTGTGATAATGTCTTAACATATTTATTTATTATTATTATTAGATGCTGCATTTTCAATAGGTCGTTTCGAAAGCCTAAAATTAGTGCAGGTAAATTCCCAAATATGTACCTATACGTAAGAGACAAACGATTTAATGCACACTCTTAAAACCTTATATAACTTTCCATATATTACCATTTAACTTCAATCTACTAACGGAAATCTATGATCGCATTCATGAAGAAGACATCCAATTACCGATACTGATAGTTTTACTTTACCATATTTCAGAGCATCCGTTTCAACTAGTTTTATGAGAGTAATAATGTGCTTGAATTTGTTTGTATTTAAATTAAATATATATCAGTGAGTTGAAGCCTTATAGGAGACAATTGTATGAATAAAAACTAAAATACGACCGTGTATTGTGGAATAAAACTAGCACTAAATAATAAAACTTAACAATGAATTTATTTGCTTAACTAGGAGCTTTTTAAGCTTTTTCATTTTATTGGTAATAGAGTTATTTTCTTTATTGTCTCTGCTTTAGGTCGTATTTCACAGGTATATAACACTTGGTGTACTGTCAATTAACGGCGAGTTAGCCTCTGATCGATCCTGGTGCACGCTGCTGTGGCGTTGTAACTTACTTGAGTTAATGTGTCAGCTGTGAGGTCAGCGGGCGGCCCAGATTGCGATACTTAACGAACTTGGGCTATTGTATATGTACGTTATAATTTCTATTATATATTTATACTTTAGGCCTATTTAACAGACGTATTATCGGAGTTGTATTATAAATACGAAAATTTGAATGTGTGTGTTTGTATGCTAGATGGACGAAACGGCTGAATAGATTGGGATGAAATTTAGCGCACAGATAGTCCAGAGAATCCCATAGGATACTTTAGGTACTTTACTAATATAATGTTTTTGAAGAAATAATGCTTAAACTTTTAACACAGTTTTATTAAAAGGCCTAAGGTACGCAAGTAAGCCTTCTAACTAAACTGAAACATATTCTTGTGTTTTTATTTAGCTAATTGATCATTTCCTACCATTTTGGTATGGTAATGACACGGTGGTTCCTGTGTCAAGTACCTTTTTAGGTCCTAAGCCATACCTATGTATACTAGATGGACATTTCTGTACAAATACATATATTTTATTTGTATGTATGTCAATTATCGGCTTGTTAGCCTCTGATCGATCTCCTCGCACTCTGTGGTAGCGTTGTAACTTACTCGACTTGACGTGTCAGCCGTGAGACCAGCGGGAGGCCTAACTGCGTTTATTGCTTATTAAACTTCACCAATCGTTATTGTTTTTCTGCATGTTGATTTATTAAGTTCTATAGAATTTGTAAGATTTAACATTATAAATAAATTGAAAATAAATTCTAAATTTGTTTTACTTAATGTTAGACATTACGTTTAATTGCTGATGCACGTGAGACAGCGACTTCGAATGTTGAATTTTGTTTTTATTACTTTTATTTTAAGATTAAAATTAAAAAAAAATGGAGTCAAATACTTGAATGGAAAAGTATATGAATAAAAAATGTACAGCTTATTACTAATTTACCTAGTGGAATTGCTTATATTTTCCCAGGAAAATGCGCTCTTTTATAAACAATATTTCTTACTTAATACAAAAACTTTACCTTGTGTTTCAGAAATGATAAATCTCTCACTGGCACTGTTCTCCTGGTAACTTTAAGTTCAGTTTGAAGTACTTCCATGGTACTTATTTCCTCAAAGCCATGTTGTTCTAGGGCTAAGCAAGTACGTTGTACTTGCTCTATGCATGGTGAGAAGGAACAGAACCGACCACCTGTTGTCAAAAAAAGATTTAATAAGAATTATATAGAAAATGTTTAAATAATTATAATAATTGAAATTGTCTTCATGACCACAAACATTGTTAAATTAACTTTTATAGTAAGTAATGCGCTTTGTGTTACAGTTAGACTATGATCGATATGTACTAAATTTTATGTTACATAAAAATATATTTGTGTAAGCTATACAAAAGTGTGATCAATGTAGAGTAGAAAGAAATATAACAATTCACTTTGTATGTTTTAAAGAAATAAAGATAAAGGCAGACAGCTGTTGTCTCCGTGTGACAGACTAGTTGGTTCCGATAAGGAAATGTACCGACGTTTTGGTTATGATGATATAGATTAAAAATTTTTACAAGGTGGAGTTGCCCGAAACACATCTTTAATGTGCCGCCGGTTCTTATCCATCAAATCTTATCGACCAATAAGGACGGTGAACGTCACTCACTCTGCCAATCTGAGTCGTTGTACGCGGACGTAGCGCCATGGGGGGTGATTTTCAAATTGTTTTCATTTTAAAATGTGTATCGCGTGCCTGGATGATATGATGGGAGTTGTAGCGGTACATTAGCATAATGCGACCGGATCGGGGAGGTAATGAAGCCATTATTGAGGATCTCATGCGAATAGGTGGCGAAATATGTAATACGTTATCTTAATGCATCGAGAGTCACGTAGCTGTGTCGATCAGGGCAATAGGGCGTTTAGAGTTAAGACTCTATAGTCTAAACGTCCTATTACCCAGAAATTATAAACATTAAACTGTTATTTTCTTGAAAATTTCAAAAGATGTTATAAATATTTCTACATTATATATTACTAGCAGAACCCGCAGATTTGCTCGCGCTAAAACTACAAAAAAGAACTCGAAAATAGGTTTCATACAAACTTTTATCCGCTATTTTACCCCCTTATGGGATGAATTTCGAAAAATGTTAAAACATGTATTTAAATAATTGTATTGAAGAGCATTTATACCAAGTTCGATTATAACGTGTTATCCTGTGGGAAAGAGATAATCTCCTGCGATAAAAAGTAGCTTATGTCACTCTCCAGTCCTCCAACTATCTCCACACAAAAAATCACGCCAATCCGTCAAGCTATTTCGACGCGAAAGAAAGACAAACAAACACACTTTCACATTTATAATATTAGTATCGACTTTATATTTAAGTACATACAGTAAAAAATAAAAATAAGATATGTACATTAATGAACATTTTCGCAGACCTTAAAGTTGCTCTAAACAATGAAAGCAAAATGATTAATCGTAAAACCAGGAAAGAAATTCAATACCGCTTGTAGATATCAAATCGGAACTAAGTACATAAAATACAACAAGCAAGAAAAGGGTTAACAATAGCCGTTAGTCATCCTCCGTGTGGCAACGGAGTAGGTCACGGGGCTGGAATGCTGGCTAATTGACAGACTTGTGAGGACATCAGGGTCTGTAAATTATACGAACTGACGTCGACTAAACTCAATATGCACTAAAAATACTTTACCGCCAAATTCGTAGACTCGATTGACGCATATCAGCGCAAAATTATGCGACCCGACGTTAATATAGACTGAGCACACTAAAAACTTCATACCTACCAAATTTACATACACTTGGACGGATTAGTGAGCCAATAAGCTTACACCGTTGGAAAATCAAGTCATTTAAAATTGCAACATAAGATACCATTTTGAGTATCTTATAGTACCTTAAGAGCTTTTTGAACAGTAGATTTTCATTTGAAGAATGGGACTTTGTGTATTTTATGTATGCCATTTTCCTTAATCGTATCATTCATTAAATGAACTACAAAGCCCAAAAATCTGGCCGGAAAAATATTCTTGTTAATACAAATTTTCTTTTCTAAGCTGCCCCTTTCTTGTTATGAGGTTGAATTATAAAAATTATGAAAGATATATTTCATTCGAGTGGTGAAGTTCGTTAATAGTAAGTCATGTTTTGGCTAACAATGCTATAAACACCATAAACACTTCGCCAATATTTCGTATTTTCTTCACAACAGTGGTATAGCAGTGTATAGTAAGTATAACAATTTCGTACGACTCAGTATGGTATAAGATCTCACAACAAATATTCCTAATCTATACATACAATAAAATTGTAACTAAGCCGAATCTGTACATTAAATATTTTTTGGAAGATCTTATTAAAATAGACATTATTATCGATACAGATGCCGAATCTATAGATTTTAGAAATTTTTGTCTGTCTGTCCGTTACCGCATCACGAAGAAACCACTGGAGGGATTTTGATGAAATTTTGTATGATCACAGCTGATTATCCGGATCAACATATAGGATACTTTTTACTGTGGGAAAATATCTCATCTCTCAGAAATCTACACTAAACGGTAAAACGTAAGTATTATATAATAATTGACATATAAATATTCATTGATTTTATATTATAACTATTATCAAGCAAGTAACCATAGTTGATTAAAAATATGCACTTTCTAAGAGGCTACGTAATCGAAGTCTATCCATTGTGTCGATGGTTTGAGCTAACTCTATTACCCATAACAATAGGTGATGAACCAGATAGATAAAGCGAGTCTTTTATCAATTAAATAATGTAATTTAAGTTTGAAAGTTGCTTATAGGTATATGAAACTTGCGATGATGTAGGCATATATTCATGTACAAGGTATAAATTTTAAAAATCAACAAATTTTAGATACCTATGCCATTTTGGCCATTGTTATGTAGTCATGGAAAACCAAATTTACGATCTAATATAAGAAAGTTGAAAACTTCACATAAAAAAGGTTTTGTGTAAATAAATACATATAAAACCTTTTTTATGTGAAGCTACATAGGTATAAAGCCAAGTAATACTGACAAGTATCCGTATAGTAGTTTGAATGGTAAGAATATCTTGTAACACTAATACCTTATAAAGATCACGATAGTATTATTGTTAAAGCTTACACGTTCGATACCATGTTGCTGATAGGTCACCGTTGATTGGAGCTAATGCAGGTTTAAGAGGTCGACTCGAATCCTAGGCGATTTTACGCTGTAATCCCAAGTAACAATTTGTACAAGGGATGAGTCCCGTTCGTAGTATGTATAAGAATATCATTTGGATTATAATCAGGTGACACCTATTGATTTTCTAACCGCCTTCAAAAAGAGAAATTCGTCTTTGAATATATTTTTTTATGTATGTATATTTGTGCATAACTTGTGAATTGGTTTCAATGATGGTTAGGTTAGGTTTTTGGTTTTTGGTTTGGGTTCGGTTAATAATTCACGGGTAACTATTGGAAACGAAATAGAAAATGTATAGTGATTGTACGGTTTATGAGAAATCTCATAAGGTACATAGCTACATAAATGTGGTCAAGGACGTGCTGGACTGGACTGGACATGAGCTATAGAATAACATAGCAGGAAACAACAAACAGCACAAATGTGTAAATTGAGTTATTTTACTTAATGCAGTTTCGCCGATTTCTCAGAAATAGATTTTCTGGGTTAGCCAGTCTAGCTAATTTAAATTGTTTTCTGCTAAGATAGATACCAAGGTGCGGTTGAATAAAACATTTCTAAGAAAAATTAGAAAAAAACACGGCATTGTAGTATGATTGTAAACAAACCTAGAAATTACCTATATCAATTAATATAATATACCTATGGAATATAATATACGGAAAGATTCAAAAAGGGATGAATAAATCAGTTTCCGCACAAGCTCCTCTACGGGTTAAGACCTCCTTCAATGATAGCCAATCTTCTCTAGTTTGAGCTGTTTGAACCCAGCTAGAATCAGCCGTCTTTTTTGATTTCATCTTCCCATCGACTGTAGGATTGTCCCTTGTTTCTTCCCTTGTGGGACTTTCCATAAAGTTACCCTTTTAGGCCACCTATGGTCTTTAAGACGAACCACATGCCCCGCCCATCTCCATTTCCATTTTAATGCCTAAGCCTTCTGTAGACCATCAGCGGCCTTGGTGATTTTACTTATTTTTGTATATATACATATGAATGAATATAACTAAGGCAAATAACTATAGAATATACCATTGTACGTCATTATAGACATATATCACGTCGTCACATACAATAGTAGTCAATCTATTGATGTATTAGCTAAGATAAAGTGGCAGAGAAATCACATATGAGCCCTGTACACCTTATCACATAAGTGAACATCTGATGGGACCTTATGCTTATAAAAATAAAGTATAAATTATTACTTGAGATTTACGTATAAGGTTCATTGTATAAAGCTAAATGGGGTCATCTAGTATGCACTGTATTGTTCTTATAATGGTTCGATTGAAAATAATTATTTAGATACTCAATCTTATTTTTAATTATATCTTTGCTGCATGGACCTTAAAATTATTGTTATATCTCTTGAGTTTCTTTGATAAGAACAATGTCGAAAGAATATATTTCGTTAATTTTTTGCTTACTCTAAGTTTAGTACATAGCTTCTTCCTTTATAAAAAAAAGTAGTAAGAACTAACATATAATTTAAATAGTAGAAAAGATCGTAACGTTTTACACATTTTCCTACCCTTATTATTATCACTGCACTTACATTTTAGTACCTTGGGGTCTATAATTCAAATATAGTGTGTGCAATTATTTTTACAGGGCATATGCATATAGTCGAGCATGGGGCGTTCGCTGGGGTGGCCGCGCATGCGCCGAGCCCGCCCCCGCCCGAGGCACTCACTATTATAAAATACCACCTATAAACTGCAGATAATTCAATGTAAACAATCCCGCCAATGGTGATTGTGATGTCAAAATGTATGTTTGCTTTTGTTTCAGGTCTGATTTGCTTTCTGTTGGCGTCGTAGATTCTGAATACTCGTACAAATGCTAGTTACAGCTTTGGAATATAGGAGGAAAGTTTCGTATTATTGTATAGATATTTTATAAAACACTTGTATCTACATATATATTATATATGTAGATACAAGTGTTTTATCTGAAGTAGAGAGAGGATCA